CATTGATGAGCGGCGTTGCCCTGTTTCACAATATTGTCTGATTTCTGGTGTACCAAACACAACAAAGCGTTCGTAATGCACATAGGATTGATTGGAATGGTTGCTACAATCTAGATAAGTTCTATCCTTAGGTGCCATATTGGACTGTTCGTGACAATAGTTGGTTGTCACATGGAAGTATGAAACAGTCAACAGTGTATGGTGCGAATTCATATGCATGTGTGCATGCCGAATCAGCGATTTCTCTTATTTTTAACCCTTTTTTTCTATTGTTGCCTGTATTTCAGTCAATGAGGACTATTCTAGTGTATTAGTTGTATCCTGTTTCAGCCAGGCTTATTTAACCAGTCAACAGTATTTTGTCTCTTACAACAAGTCAACACCAGCCAGCCCAAACCAGCCTAGAAACCAACCAGCGAACAAACCAAATGTGTTATCTTTTATGTGATGTGCTCATAAGTTCGTCTGCAACCAAAGGTTAAGAGTTTAACTACAAAGCAGGGTGATAATCAGCCTACAAAGCAACTACTTTACTCAATATTTTTTGTTCCATATGTAAGACTGATTACAATTTGGACCTTGGACGATGAAATTAGGTACTGCCACCTGTTCTAGGCCTGCATATGAAGTTACGAACCGACAGTTTTATTTTTTATTTGGAACTATGGTGAGCCTTTGTGCCTGCCTGAATAAGTTGTGTTAAATCCATCAAGAATTTGTGGGTTTTAACCACCTAATTTTGGCATTTAAGCCACCCTTTTATCGCCTGTTGAACCTTTATTCACAAGTTATGTTGTTACTATCTTGTTTCTCTTAATTTGGTACATATTCCAAACCCCTTGGTTATCAACCCCATTTAGATGATAGTATATTGTTTGAAACTTAGATACCTAACCATTAGTATTTGTTACAACATAACGACTTGCTACTGTATCGCCTTTGGAGTATATGTTATCTATCATGTATTATGCGGCAGCTACTATTGTTTAGATTGAGAACGAACATCATAAAGAATTTTGCAATGCTCATTATTCTTTTTTTTGGGGTCTGCATTACCTGACACATCGCAAGCTTTTGCATAGAAACTCAGTGTAATTTTGCTGACACATCAAAACACTATAATATCCATTCTAGCCTATAGGTGTGTAACAGATCAGAGGATGCACACTTGAGTAGAGATACTGATGCACGCTTGAGTAGAGATACTATACTTAACTCGACTTGTCAACTGTCTAGGGCAGCAGGATGGTAAACCCTAGATACTGAGTCTATATGATTTGTCAGGCACTATTTTTGGGTGTTTATTGTATCATGATTTGCAGACATAGGGTCATACATTTTTTTAGTTTTTATTTTATACCTTATAAAGACATGCAGATCAAATAATTATTTTACCTTAGGAAAATGTCTCATATGGCTACTGGAGCCCTATGGATGAATCTGAAGTTGAAACTTGAAAAACCATTTAGATTACCTGTTTTATACTGTTGCAATTTGCTTATCATTCGAAATGATTTTTTATGTTGTATCACCACCTCGATTTACTTGGTTACTTCCTGCCAGACCCATACAGGATAGTCATGAGTCATGAGATATTTTTGTTTGTGAATACAGATAAAAACATCACTAAAGGGAAACTGGTGATAGATGTTGCATACTTCATTTTCCACGTCCACTCAGAAACTACTCATAACCTCTGCGATGAGACTCCTTGCCCAGCAACAGGTGAATTTGTGCTAGCTAGCCAACAGATATTACCATCATTCACCCCGCCAGTAAGTATAATGCACCACATAATTTAGTTCTATTAACAAACTAGACTTGCTGGATTACTGAGGCAGGTAAAATAATGATTGTCTACTTTTCCTGGCATATTGTTTATCTTGCAGGGTTCCTACACCCTCACGATGAAGTTGCTGGGAGACAGCAATGAGGAGCTAACCTGCATCTCCTTTGGGTTCAGCATCGGGTTTGTTACACCAAACCCCATCATCTAAACCTGATATCAAATTTGCCATGGATGTAGTTACATGAACCTTGTAATGCAACATATACTTCCATATGACTCAGAATGTGTGTTCAACTGCTGTCTTGTATTCGGAGGTGGACACCTGACCTAACGATCTAACTACATACAGTGTTATCATGGACCTACCTGAGTTTGGTGCTCTATGTCAGCATGCTTTTCACATGTGTATATAAATAAATAAATGGACATCGATAATTGCTGTTATGGTCTTGTTTCCTCAGTGCGTCTTTCCTGAATGATAAAACTTGAAAGGACAATTAGGTTCACTTTCTTTTGATACTTGATTTTGTTCTGTGATGCCCTGGCGAGGGTGGGATGGCCGGCGTGGGTTGCTGTCCGTCCAGCTAGCCGAATGAGCCTGACGCTGCCTGAGTACAAGGCAACAAATGGACAGACAGGGCGCAATGGGTGGCTGGATGCCGTCCAGCTATGTGTGGCAGCAGGATCGCCGGGGAGGGGCAACAAATGGCCAGGCATGGCGCAATGGATGCGGTTGCTGTAGTACGTGTACACGTGTAGTAGGCTTTGTCCCACGTGGCACGCATAACGTTGCCGGCAATGTTTTCTTGCGACCGCACCACTTGCGGCGAAATGGTTTTTTTTTTTTCAAGTGGTAGACCAATTAGCACTGACACGGAGGAGTACTTTCTTCTCTATTATAGGGCAACAATAACGTGTCCAAAAGATACTTTCTTGTCTAAAAAGAACACAGTTAGGCCATGTTTACTTCCTAAAAATTTTCAACCTTAATTGTCACATCGAATCTTACGGCACATGTATGGAGTACTAAATGTAGATGAAAAAAAAACTAATTGCACAGTTGAGTGAGAAATCGCGAGACGAAACTTTCAAACCTAATTAGTCCATAATTAGACACTAATTACCAAATACAAACGAAAGTGCTACAATAGCCAAAAGCCAAAAAATTTCGCCAACTAAACGCGCCCTTATAGAATGTCCATCTAGACCTTGTGCTACCTCTCTGCAGTGAAACAATAGCAAAAGCCACTCGTACCGGTATGACCTAGGAGTAGCAATGATTATTGTTCTTCCTTCATCTCTTCTCTCCCCTATTTAGTACCTAGTGTGGGTCGAACATTGTGAGGCTTGCTACAACTACTGTTGACTATTGTGAGGACCAAATATATGGATTGGATGATCTAAATACATTGTCGTTGCCTTAAGCCAAATTTGGGTGAAGTCATAACTAATATTCAGCCTGTTCGCTGGTTGGTTTCTGGGCTGATAAGCCTGGTTGGTGCTGGTTTGTTGTGAGAGAAAAACACTGTATCATGGCTGATAAGTCCTAGCTGAAACCAACAAGCGAACATGCTGATCATCTAGATAACTATCAATAATTGACTAACTATCAGTTAGGTGTTGTTTGGATCCACCAGCTAAGGATGCCTTTGAAACACGGATTGAAAAATATAGAAATGAGATAGGAATGCACATGCAAACAGAAGAATAAAAACACATGAATTTTCCAGAATAGGTGTTTGGATCAACTGTGGAAAAAAACAGGAAACATGAGATTTGAGCGTATGGCTCTGTTCGCTTTGCTAAAATTTGGCTTATGCTGATTTGTTGTGAGAGGAAAATACTATTCTTTCGCTGAAAAGTACTGCTGAAGAACAGGGCGTATGTTTTTCCCCACATGTTCTGTGAAATCAAACGAGAGAGAGAGAATTTCTACGAACCAAAGGACACTACAACGACTCACATCGAAATCTTGCGTTTTTCATACAGCCTAAAAGGTAGATGCATTTGTGGTTGTCTATTATGTCCTTTATTTTCTATTTGTTATTGGGAGGGCACATGGATAAAGGTAAGTGGCAGAGCAAAAGTACCTTTTGCAACTTATTAGCGTTAGATGGGTGCCTAGCTAACAATTACTTGACCTATTAGTAGGGTCTATTTGGTTCCACAACAACTCTTTTTTAGCAACTATAACTATTAGTTGAATGGATCCAAACGGGACCTTAAGTACTTCCTTTGATTCAAAAGTATACACTGTTTTAACTTTGTTCCAAGCCAATTGTCTAATTTGAACTAACCTTATATGAAATATATTAACATCTACAATAACAAAATAACACACTATCAAGATATATTTCCTAGTACATATGATGAAACGAATTTGATGATACATATGTTAATATATTTTTGCTTTTCTTTCGGTTGAATTTAGATAAGTCTAGGATAAAGTGAAAATGACCTATAATTTAGAACTTGGAAGGGTAGCACATGCTTTGAACTAACATGGTGGGGGATTGAACGTTGTTTTTCATATACTAAATGCCCTTGAGATTTTAGAGGGTACTGACTTCATTTTCTTTTAGAACTTATATTGAATCGACAAGTTCTATTGGTTTTGGCGGCCATGTTAGTATGTATACATCTAGAATTCTGAGCTAAAGGTGCAAGCAAATCAAAGACATTTGGTTGAGTAATTTTATTACTATATTTTAAATTAACACATGTTCCCACCGCTTTATTTTATTCTACAAACTTCAAACCTTTGCATCTATAACTTGGATGTTCAAACTCATATAACTGCAAGTGTCAGATAAAATATGATACTATTTATTAGTCACGATAACGGCAAAGGAACATCCATGCCATATCCGACGCCAAAAAGGAAGGCTGTTCAAAATTTCGAACCATCCTTTGCATTAACGGCTCTAATCGTGTTCAAACGACCAAATCTGAACGTTAATGGGCTGCCCGGGAAGCGGCAGGCGCCCGCACGCAAGTTTAACATCCGCACGCCAGCCCACTGCCCACGCTCCGCGCACGCCAACAACGCCCGAGGCACCGAAACAGAAACAGGAGAGGCTGCGTAGCACACGGGCCTCGCGACGCGACTCGCGGAACGGAAGCCCTAGCTTTTTCCTTGCGTTCTTCCACCCCCGGACCCCTTCCCTTCCTCCCCAGCGCCTCCACCCCGCGCCCGCCTCCACGCCGCGCCATGTACCCGAGCCCGTACGCCGGCTCCGGCGCTGGAGGGAAGATCCGGCGCCGCCCGCCGCCCCGCGCCGCCTCTACGCCCTACGAACGCCCCCCCGCAGCCGCCGCCGCGCACCGCCTTGCGGCTGCGGCCGCTGCTGCAGCAGCGGCTTCCGCATCCTCGGAGCCGGCCGGGGAGCGCGGCGGTGGGAGCGGTGGCTGGGTGTCCCGGCTGGTGGACCCGGCCTCCCGCCTCATCGCGGGCGGCGCCGCGCGCCTCTTCGGCTCGGTGTTCCGCAAGCGCCTCGCCCCGCCGCCGGCCCCGTCTCCGCCGCTGTCGTCGCCTCCTGGTGAGCCTAAGATTCATCTGTGCTCCTCTCTGCTCCCTGAGATTGGCATCTGCAACAGCCGTCCGTGATTTTGACTGGGGCTAGGGTTTCGGGCTTCCCAAGCATGCTAGGGTTTACCTCACATTGGTAAGCACCTACGTAAGGTTTTGGGCGATTTTGGCTGTGGCAGATGTATTGCGGATACATTGAGGTGAGCTCGTGATGAAGCCGAGTTGTTTTGCCGTGGTAGCTCACATGAGCTTTCCTGCAGAAACGGAAAGCTTTGAAACCGTGGTTTGCAGTTATGTATATAGTGCATTAGCATTGTTTAGATTTAGATTTGATTATATACTTCAAAAGGATATATGTCACAATGATTGATTGGTGTATGCTAGGGTCTAAATTTTAGGGCTCGAGAGGTGTCTAACCTATTGGATCCTTGTGTTTTTATTGGTGGATGCGAAATAAAAGGGTTCTCTTACTCTCCCCATTCTTTCTTACTGTTGGATCTTAATTCTTATTAGCGATTGTGTGTAATGATTACCTCTAAATAAATTAATAAATTATATTGTTGCTGGTCTGATCGCAGTTTTTGTGCTTGCAGGAAAAAATAATGAGCCAAAACAGGACTTGCCTGATTCTACACATGTTGTAAGTAGCAACTGACCGTTTGCAGTTAAACATAACACATTATATATTATGTTTAATGAGCCTGTGTTCTATTTGGTATCATTTGGTTCACCATTGTTCAGACCAGAACATTTGAAAACTCTATGCAGGATTCGCTTCCAATCCCAGAGGGTGGAATGGAGAAAGGGAAGAGCATAGTTGCCACATCAGATGACAAAGCATTGTCTGAAGTAGAGCACTTGTTAATGCGGAAGACATTCACTAAGTATGTATCTACATAATTACTATTCTTCAATTTCTTGTGTTTAATCTGCTATATTTTTCTTAAAATGTATTTTGTAAATTCTCAGTTCATAACTAGCATTCACCCTCACCCCTGGTATAGTGGCTATTATCTGGTTCTGTGATGTTCCACCTCTTCCAGTCTAAAACATATTTCAAATGAGATTCCCTTTTGTTGTACTGCTGCACGCAGTGTGCTCTTCGCCTTTCCTCTGTTTGTGCTTGCGTGTTGCTTTCACAATGTATTCTTTGTTCAATGCTACTGAAGCTGTTCATGACGAGCATTACTTCCTTTGCAGGGTTGAGTTTGATCGTCTTACTGACTTATTGCGTGCAAGAACCATTGAGTCTGATCCACCTAAATCAATTGTTTCTCGTGAGGAAAAGAATGAAGAAAGTATCAGGATTGATGGAATCGGAGGCTCAGCATTACGTCATATGGATCTTGATGATTCTCCGGCTGTTAAAGTAAGGATTCAATTTGCTCATACAAGAGGAAGGCTTGTACAATTCTGTTATCCAATGCCTGAATACCATGAAATTTCATGCTGTTAGTTAGAGCCACAAGAGGAAGGCTTGTACAATTTATAGTTCCTTTGTCCTTGGAGTTCTGTGTGTATCACCAAGGCTCTTGAGGCGGTAGGGGGAGGTGAAGGCTTGAGGCGAGGTGATGTCACACCAATCAAGGAACAGTGGAATGCAGCAGAGAAAGTAGCAATGAAAATGGGGAAAAAGATAAATAAAGGGAAGAAAGGGGAAGGAGAGGCAGGCCGAGCGCACCATTGAGTCTATACCCCTTTTCTTCGCGACTAACCTGAATCCTGAACTCCTGATTGCTCGATGTTCAAAATGTACTGCTTGCAGTGCTACTGCTCCCTCCCTGCTGGGTACACATCCCATCTCTGTGTCCCTCCTCTCTGCCACCACCTTTCCTGGAGGGGAGTGCTGCGCCGGCCATCAACGCCGAGCTTGGTGGGGGTGGGGGAGATGGTGGCTGCTTGGCCTGGCCGTCAACTTCCCCAGCTACTCTTCATATTTTCTTCCTCTCTTCTCACTGCCTTTTTGGTAAACTGTCCTTTATGCCTAGGCTTGCCGATGCGCCCTATCTACATTGTGTATCACTTAGATCCCTTAGAACTGCAAATTTATGTTACCAAACACTTGGCCCTATTTAAGGTCAATTTTGGTTATGTGTATGCTAAATGAGAATAATGGAGCATTACTGAGATTTTCTCCTTATAATTTAAAGACCTCATTTAAATTAAAGACTGTCAATTCTACATTTATAATTTGTTTCAGATAAAAAACACGTGAAAAACAACAGCTTATGGTTGAAATAAGTTCCCATGCCATGTCTAGTAACTAGTTTTTGTTCCCTATTGGCTCCCAGTTAGTTTGGGGCCTTGGGGGGCTAAATACACATAGGTCTCAAGTTTTAGTTCAGGGATGCAAATGACATACCTGTGCACATTTAGATTATTAGCTTCAACGCCTGTTGTTACTGCACTCCAAAATATGTTGTTAATAAAGCTGGTTAGATTGTTGGATCCATGTTTTTTCCTGTACTAATGTAAAATCGCTCGTCTGATTGGATGCATGTAGCTCAGTAAGCATAATAATTTGTCTTGGTATGACTGTTTACTACTATATATACAATTGCTGACTTGCAGCATCAACCATTCAGTGAGCTAGGAAGAAGCTAACAAATGTAGCTTTGCTTTTAGGTATTGTTGTCTGAAACTTCTATTACCTTTTATATTTAATTCCTATCTAATTTGCACTTTTACAGGGTAATCATGGTGCTAGTTCTCCTACAGAACTCATGATACAATATATGAGCTCTCGTTATTCGAGGGAACCCCAATCAAATAGTTCTGCGGAGCCGATTGTTTCTTGAGAATAAAGGTGAAGCAAGCAACATTGCCAATGATAGGAGGTCCGGACCACCAATTGTTCAGGCACCACTTGAATTTCGAAGGAAAACCCTGGTCTCCTGTAAATGGCTATGGGACTTCGATTATTACGTGGGCGGTCAGCGATATATAGAATGTCTCGCTCTCCATATTTTAAGGTTGGTATATATCCAGTGCCCATTATGTCAGGTTCTTGTAGGTTGCTAGTTTTCTGATAAGTATAGTTTTGCATTGCAATGGCCTCAAAAATATAATTTTGACAATCAAATGTAAATGCTACTATAAAATTGCATTACCATCTAAGTTTACTTGTATCACCTTTTCATTTATACTTAACAAATATTGATGGCCCGTGCTGGTCAGATTTAAAATAGTTTGACTTAATGAGTTCTAGGATATCACTTTTTCCTTCACCAGAGGTCACAAACACATATTTATTTGTATGTGTTTGTCGCTGAATTCTTACTCTTGGTAGTAGCAGAATTCTTACTCTCATCGAGAGAGGATGACACTAGGAGTTGGGGCAATTTTCTGGTTTATTTCTCACACAAATGCCATGCCAACCTGAGGGGTTGGGGATACATATTTATAGGCTGCTAGCCAGCCAAGCATATGCCAAGATGCTAGTCTAAGATGTTGTCCTAGATGCTAGTCCTAGATGCTAAGATGTTCTCCAGTCAAGGATGCTGTCCTATGGGCAGCAAGACCACCATGCTGCTGCAGCCCCACAAAGACCTACACAGAGACATCCATCATTCTCCCCCTAAGTCTTGTGCGTCGTCTTGTGGGAAAGTTGAACCATCCCGATCCTGGAGCAGAGCTTAAGGAACTTGATCCTCCCAAGAGGCTTAGTAAGCAGGTCCTCAAGCTGATCCTTGGTGTTGATGTAGCTTGCCTTGATGCTCCCTTCCTCCAAACAGCCTCGGATGAAGTGGTACCTCACCCGGATGTGCTTACTCCGTTCATGGAAAATAGGGTTCTTTGCCAGGGCCAGAGCGGACTTGCTGTCTATCCTGAGCTCCACCGCTCTAGTGTCTCTGCCGAGTAGATCACCAAGCAGTCGAGCGAGCCAGAGCGCCTGAGTCGAAGCGGTGGAGGCCGCTATGTACTCGGCCTCGCAGCTGGACAAGGCCACCACTGCACGCTTGACCGATCGCCACTTAACGAGGCACTTGCCGAGGAGGAAGAGGATCCCGCCTGTGCTCTTCTTTGGTGTCGATGTCGCCAAGCGTGGTCGCCGTCGTTGTGCCCGACGGCCAAGTGTGCCGCCTGTGGGGCACCTAGGGTAGTAGAGGCCGTGGTCGAGAGTCCCCGCAACGTAGCGGATGATCCTCTTCACGGCCTGGCGGTGCTCGTCGTCGATCGGCCGCATGAACCGACTAACGTGGCCGACGGAGAATGCCAAGTCCGGCAGTGTGTGGGCGAGGTAGCGAAGGCTCCCCACAAGACGCCGTGATCTGCGTGGCGGCCCACCTCCTCTGTCGTCTTTGTCGCTGCTCGACCAAACCTCTCCTCCATCGGAGTGAGAGCTGGGTTGCGATCGGTGAGCCCAAATAGCTCAACGACGCTTAGCGTGAAAGGCTATCCGTCAAGCGTGATCCCGGAGTCGCCTGGTGCACCTCGATTCCCGTGTAGAAGGAGGCCCCAGTCACTCATCCGGAAGGTGGCCTTCATCTCCTTGAATGCCGCCACCTCCGCATCCTTGGTGCCGGTGATCACCAAGTCGTCGACATAGACACCCACCGGTGAGCATATCCTCCACCCTGCCGGGTAGATGGCCGCCTTGTGCGGGCTTTGCTCAAAGCCCATCCCTTTAGCGTGGAATCCAACTTGGCATTCCACGCCCTCGCGTTCGTCGCAGCCATGTAGGGCCTTGTGCAAAGTGAGAACCTGCCTCCTTGTTGGGGATCGCAAATCCGGTGGTGGGTGCACATAGACCTTCTCCTTCAAGTCGCCGTTAAGGAACGCCGACTTGACGTCCATGTGATGAACACGCCAGACCTCTCACAGGCGCGGTAGCGCAAGGAGGAGTCGCATGGACTCCATCCGCGTTACCAGGGAGCAAAGGCGTCGTCGAAGTCGACCCCCCCTCCCGCAGACGAAACCTCGTGCCACCAAGCGAGCCTTGTGCTTGACGATGGCACCGCTTCATCCTCTTGACATGTACACCCACTTAAGGGTGATCGCGCGCGGTGACCACGAGGAAGGTCGCAAGCTCCCAGTGCGGTTCTTCTCAACCGCATCCATCTCCAATCGCATCGCGGCGCGCCATGCAGCGTGTCTCTCGGCCTCTGCAACGACCGAGGCTCGCCCGTCGTCACACGCAAGGTGCAATCTGCGCCTCCAGTCGTGAGGCACCGATCCGGCAGACCGGTGGTCGTTGAGAAGGTTCTCCATCGTGACGGCAGTCATAACGACTTCGCCGTCGTGGTATCGTCGATCGCGCCTCGTCGTGAGAGAGGCGAGTAGCGAAGCTCAACCGGCCGTGTGCTCGACATGAGCCGGTGTTGGAGTAGACGTGCGGAGAGGTGCTGTCGGTCTTTGAGTCTTGCGTAAGCGGCGGTGCTTGGCTATGGTGGAGCCGTGAAGAACTCATCGCAGATTGAGGTCTGGTAGGTGGAGAGCGTGGTCTTTGTCGAGTAGCAAAGGCGTCGGGGTCGGTGGAGGCTCGGGGGTTTTGGGGTAGACGCGCTGTCGAAGAAGAGCCGCTTACTCCCCCAGCTCCCTCGCGAGCGACGTACTCGACGGTGAAGTCGCCGTCGTCGAGCCGAGCCGAGCCGCCGCCCACCGCCTTGTCCCACGCCCATCCTCGCCTTTCGTCAAACACAACGCCAGTGTCTTGAATTCGAAGATGCGGTAGGCCTTGAGCCTCTCGCGTGGCCGGATGAACACTCCGGAGTGCTCCTGCCGTCGAGCTTGCCGATGTGGCCAAGCTCCTTGGCGAAACGCGAGGCGCTAGAAGACCCGCATAAGTGGGAGACCGCCGGCTTGCGCCCATGCCAAGCCTCGTCGACGCCGTCCTGTTGCCGAAGCGCCTTGGTAGGCGAAGGGTTGAGGATGTAGAGCGGCCGACACCACCGCCTTCTCCCGTAAGACAAATGGCATCCCCTCGCTTGAGAAGGGCCCGAGCCATCCCCACAACCGTCTGGTTTCGCCTCGACGACGCCTGCCGTTTCTGCTGCGGGGTCAGACGGTAGCGGAGTAGTGGTGATGAATGCCCTCATCAACAAAAGACGACGCGAATTCGGCTTGCAGTGAATTCGCCCGCCGTTGTCGGTGCACAAAGACCTGACGACTTGCGGCGCACTCACGCCTCCGCAGCGACTGCGAAGGCTGATGGCGTCCGCAGCCTCTCCCTTGTTGCCGAGGACCATCACCCACATGTAGCGGGAGAAGTCGTCGACGAGCAGCAGGAAGTAGCGTCGTCCTCCCGGTGTGGCTGGTGTCACCGGGCCACACAAGTCCCCGTGCACAAGCTCGAGCCTCTCCTTGGCTCGGCTCGCCCACCGGGGAAAAGGAGTCGCCTCTGCCCGTCAACACGCAGACGTCGCAGAGCCGCTCTCCACATGGTCGAGGCACGGCAGGCCTCGCACCATCTCCATGCAGCAGACCGAGCCGCTTGAGGCCTCGGTGAAGGTGCCCGGCGCTCGTGCCATAATCGCCACGCTTTGTCGTCCCGACGAAGCGCAAAGAGAGAGGGGGGTTGTGCCACTTGCATGTTAAGGACGTAGAGTCGATTTGCGCTTACGATACCTTGGCAAGAAGGCGGCGACGGCGATCCCAAATCCTCATGACTCCATCCTCAACCACCACGCTGCAACCATTCTCATCCAAATTGGTCCCCAAGGCGATGATGGAGTTCCTCAACGCGGGGATGTAGTAGACTCCGGTGAGCGATGCATGCTCACCGGACACGCAGCATGAAGATGACGGAGCCGACGCCCTTGATCTCGGCGCCGAGGCATCCCCAAACTTGACGGAGCCTCGGGGACGCTAGAGTCAAGCTCGGTGAAGAACTCCGTCGACCGGTCATGTGATGGGTGGCACCGATGTCGAGGCACCACCCGTCGATCTTGTCGCTCTTGGAGCCGTCGAGAGGAGGGCGTGTGCTTTTGGCTCGTCAAGGTGGAGGAGAGCTGCGACCGATCTTGCCGAGAGGTAGCTCGATGCTTGCATGTGCCATGAACAGAGCCGACTCCTCCTCCTTTGTCGGCGACGTGGGCTGGCCGCGTCGTTCTTGCCGACAAGATGCCAGCCCAATGGCCAAGTCGCGCGATTCTGGCGGTGTCGTCTCGTCTTGGCTTGTACTGCCGGGCTGGCGCCGCCTGGGCGCCTCGCGGGCATCACCCTCGGCACGTCCTCGCACCCCGGCTTGCCATGTCTGCGCGCTTTGCGCTTTGCCACGCTTATGCCGCTGTCATGGAAGAAGGCTCCCCTTCTTCCGGTCACCTTGGCTAGCAAACCACTTTGCCCGGTGAGAAGGAGCTTCCGCCAATGGTGATGGGCCCCGAGAGAGATCAGGCTCATCATTGCCGGCGACCTTGAGGCGATAGATCGACATCGTGGAGAGATCCAGCAGAGACTCGATCGAGCGAGCCATCTGCTTGTACTTCTCGGGGGCCAGCGGAAGAGCTTTTCGACGACTCTCTCTCTCGCCGTAGAGTGTCATCGCCGAATCGCACCATCTTCTACGCAATGATGTTGAGACGGAGAGCAAAGTCATCAATGTCCTCACCGGCTTGAAGGCGGTGTTCTCCCACTCCTTGCGGCGTGCTGCGGTGTGGACTTGCGGGCACGGTCATCTGCCGATGCGTGCTTGCGCAATGATGGCGTCCCTGCTTCCTTGGCGATCCGCTTGTTGGTAAGCGAACCGCATCTCGACGGATCGGGCTGCGGCGATGAGGCATCCAGCGCCACCGATCCCGGTCGTAGTCGACGTCGCCGTACCGGATTGCCTCCCACATGTGCCGCACTTGGAGCTTTACCCTCATCACCGCAGCCCACTCGACGTAGTTGGTCTTAGTGAGGGTAGGCCACCCACCGCCGGGGCCGACGTCCCGACAACGACTGGAGCCCGTGGTAATCACGGTGTCGATCCGGGAGAGAGAGCCACGCTGCTCGTGGAAGGCCGCGCTCTCCATCGACCCGTCCGCCACCGTTGCCGCGTGGCGCGCCCTCCTCCAGAGCGCCGCCCGCGCGCGTCTCCGCCGTCTGGCTGCTGCCAGCGCTCATGGGCGTGTCGCGGCTGCCCATCTTGCGCCGCCCGCGCTCGTCTGCCTCCCTCCCAGCAGCTCGAGGTCCGCGTCGGCTGGCATTGCTGCCACAAGTAACGGAGCTGCTGATCTTTGCCGCGCAGAAACCTCGACCTCTGCTGCCGCCGCCGCTGCATCCGCCGCCGCCGCACATCGCTTCCGCCTCGCCTCGCTCTGCTTGCCAACAAGCTTGCTGCTAGCCTCGACGCTTTACTGCCGCTTCGCTCGCGTTCTCTGCTGCGGCAAGTTCGAGTTCGGCTCTCTACGACGCGCGGCTCGAGGCGACCGAAGGCCGAGATCGCCTCACCCTGCGGACATGACGCGCTACCGGGGGGCTGCGTGGGGAGAGGGCTGCTTCAGACGAGCTGCGCAGAGGGAGAGGAGTGAGCAGGAGCGGCCGGAGCTGCTGCTGCTCCCAGCTGGGGCTGTTGCGTGGCTGGGAAAGGAGATGAGCAGGAGATGCTCAGGCTACAGGATAGTATGGCTCTGATACTAGTTGTTAGTCGCTGAATTCTTACTCTTGGTAGTAGCAGAATTCTTACTCTCATCGAGAGAGGATGACACTAGGAGTTGGGGCAATTTTCTGGTTTATTTCTCACACAAATGCCATGCCAACCTGAGGGGTTGGGGATACATATTTATAGGCTGCTAGCTAGCCAAGCATATGCCAAGATGCTAGTCTAAGATGCTGTCCTAGATGCTAAGATGCCGTCCTCCAGTCAAGGATGCTGTCCTATGGGCAGCAAGACCACCATGCTGCTGCAGCCCCACAAAGACCTACACAGAGACTTATCCATCAGTATGTGTTCCACACAGAATGCTCTTGGTTCTACGACACTAGAAATTTTCTACTTGTTCATTTAATGAGCTGAGAAGAGCCTCCAAAGTTATTGGAAGTAATTTTTTGTTTATGCATCTTGTAGGGTCAGAACTATTCCAACGATTTGAACACGTCTTCATTGCCCCAACGAGCACAAAGTTTGCATGTTGGTGGCAGGCAGGTAATTTATTAAACATTTGTAGTACTGCGTAGCTTTAAGTACTGAAGTATGCATTTTTTTCTTGGATTATACACACATATTAGAAAACGATGTGGATACGTTACAGAATTATGGTTGTGAACGTGTAAAATCTATGATTTTTCTCCTGATATCCGTGATGTGCCACATGCAAGTATTTATATGATAGAAGACAACATATCAACTTGTTTTATTGATCCTTGTATAATATCATGGAATCTAGGCTTGTTGGATACATCATTGAGGAACTTTCTTTGAGGTGTATGTAACTTCTGCGTGGTCTGAACTTTATGCACCAGAGTTTTCTCACTATACTCCCATCTTCATAACAGGTCTTGAAACGAAGTGGGGCTGAATTAGAGAATGAACTTGGATCTATAGGCCCCATTCGTAGAATTCGGCAGAAGTCAAATATGATGTCTTCTTTTAGAGATTCTCGTGCAAACCCTCGAGGAAGCCTTCTTACTAGCCATACAAGTGGTTCTTATTTCACTGAAGACAGCACATCCATTCAGTCTTCGAGCTCAAAAAGACTATTGGTTGGGAGTAGTCAATCTCTGCGACCCCTAGAATCCGAAAAGAATGGGGGAGATGGTAAATCTAGTGATAGCATTCCACCCATACCTGCTCAATCAAACAAGATGGCTGAGAAGATATTTGAGCAGCTTAATATAATAGCTCCATCGCCAAAACAGCAGCAGTCTGTTACTCTGAATGCTAGTAATTCTATGTCAAAGAAACCTGTTTTGCAAGATGCTGGGCCAAGCAGTATGTATAAGTTGTATAACCAATCTAGCTCCCTGAAGTTTCAAGATTTGGATGGTGCAAATGGACCCCTTGATACAAACTTGAATGGTTCCCTGTTGAAGAAAGATAAGCTAAATATAATAAAAGACGTACCGCCAAAAGCTGCCTTTTCTGATAGACCTACCCTTTTGGGGAACTCAGTTTCTGCTTCTAAATCACTGACGCCAGGCTTTAAAATGGCTGTGATAGAGGTATGAGAAATGTGTACTCTTTTTATCAAATGTAATGCAGTCATGTATCCAATACTTGTGACCTGACACCTTTTTCTTACCGTTATGTTTTCAAGGACTCACCAGAGTTGGATGATGATCTGGAGGTCCCTATTCCATCAAGTAAGATAGAGGTTGAAACAACTGAGCAAAAAATTGATTCAAATAGAAAAGAACAGAAGGTTGAACAAAATACATTAGAGCAAAGGGTCGAACCAAAGTTAAAGAAGAACATTGCTGGTTCTCCGGTTAGTGAACAGCCTGTAGCATCACTGTCTAAAACTGTCCCTTCATCTGGTGGTTTGCTTTTATCTAATGACCCTGGGAAGGCAGTACCCAATGCTTCTGTGGACAACAATACCGGTTTTGCATTCTCAAATGCACCTCCTGGCACCCGTCCTGCAACTGGTGTATCAGCAATGCCACTTGCTTCAGTTAAGGACGATAAACAGACTGGTGCTTCAAATTCTATTTTTGGCATCAAGCAGTCAATTGCATCAGATTCGGAAACATCAACTATAGAAAACAAATCCACACTTGGGCAGAGGTGATTTCTCTTATATCCTTGTCTTTCTTTTGATGTTTCAGGGACCGTTTACATTATTAGTAGTAAGAATGTGCACCATAATTGCAATGTCTAATGTGTTACTGTGAGACTGAGTATTTATCTTATCATGAAATTGGTTAGACTTGGTGTTAGTAATTGCATGTGGATCCTTGATGGACAATGGAGAGATAAATTTTTTTTAACTTAGTGATACAAGTGATGCATTTAAAAAATCTATATAGTCTTAAAGCTGATCCTCCTGGAATGTAAGCCTGGTTGTTTTCAATGTTTTTAAGTCTGCTAATCTATTTTGCTTTTTATGTTTCCAGTGTCACGAAGCTCACAACATTAGCCAGCACTAGTCCAGAGAGAGGTGATAAAACAGAAAAAGCAGAAGATGTAGCTAAATCATCGGACAAGGTGTTGCCCTCAGCTGCATCAACAACATTGAACGCACCTCTCCATTTTACTTCTGCGGCATCTACTTCGAGCCTGAGCAATGGCTTCTCATACTCGCCACCAAAGCTCGAAACTGCTCCACCTACTGATAAACCTGCTATCAGCTCTGCTGCTTCCACCTCCATATTTGCTGTATCCAGTAGCAGTCCAGCTATTTCATCGTCTCCTGCATTTACAGCATTTAGTTTTTCTTCCAGCGCTCCGGTTGGCTCGTCAGTGGCAACATCAGCTAAATCAGATGGCACAACTGCTGAGAATAAGGCAGCTAGCACCATATCATTTGGTATAGGGGGTGCAAAAGATGAAGTGAAATCTGTGGCACCAGATGCAACCAGCAAGCCATCATCGAAACTTTTTACTTCACCTGTGTCATCAAGTATTGCAAGCTTTTCAAGTTCATCCATCACATCTACGCCTAGTCTCTCCCCGGTTGCAGCTTCAAGTGATGCTGCTGGCATAGCTATGGCTGCACCATCTAGTACTTCCACTGCACCAGGTTTACAGTCTGCTTCAACCCCATCATTTACATTTCCGAGCTCTGGAAACAGCCTTTTTGGGTTCAGCTCGCCAGCCCAATCTACTGTCCTCAGCACACCATCAGTTGCTGGTAGTACCTCTCAACCATCATCTGCTAGCACACTCTTTGGTAGTAAGCCGACACAGTCAGAGGGAACAATGCAACAACCATCCCAGAGTTCAAAACCACGATCTGGCTCACCATTCCCGGCCATGACTCCTGGAGTTGGTGCTTCCTCGTCTGGATCTGGGACCTTATCTTTTGGACTTGGAGCTTCCTCGACTGGTTCAGGGACCATATCTTTTGGTGTTGGATCTTCATCTTCCGCACCTGGAACTTCATCAGCTTTTGGGGCAGCAGCTCACTCATCTGGACCTGGGGTTTTCTCTTTTGGGGCAGGAGCTTCCTCATCAGGATCTGGGACTGTTCCCTTCGGAGTTGGAGCTGCCTCGTCTGGACTCGGGGTCATGTCATTTGGAGCAGGAGCCTCCTCATCTGGACCTGGGATCGTGTCCTCTGGAGCAGGAGCCTCCTCATCTGGACCTGGGACCGTGTCTTTTGGAGCAGGAGTCTCATCTGGACCTGGGACTGTCTCTTTTGGAGCAACAACTTCCACATCAGGGGCTGGATTTGGCAATTCACCATTTGGAACTGGAGCTATGTTTGCGAACCCATTTAGCTCTAGCTCAAGTACTGGGTTCACATTTTCTTCACCTAGCTCTTCTGCTGGTGCATCAACGGTAGCCAGTACGAGTGTGTTTGCCAGCACCTCCACAGCTTCTTCAGCCTCAGCTTTTAGCAACCCTTTTGGCTCAAGTTCATCCCCACCCAGCACATTTACATTTGGGCAATCAGCTTCTTCAGGCAGTGGTTTTGCATTTGGAGCGCAGCCAGCTCCAACGTTCTCATCTCAACCATCATCAGTTTTCTCATTTACTTCAGCAAACACTAGCATGAACTCGTCTCCACAGCTTACATTTGGAATGACTAATACCAACACAGCCTTCGGCGTGGCTTCCCCCGGAAATGATCAGATGAACGAAGACAGCATGGCAGATGACATTAGTCAGGCGGCACCTGTGCCGGCGCCAATATTTGGTTCTTCATCATTTGGACAGCAGAATATCTCGCCTGCTGCCCCGGTATTTGGTGCTCCGGCAGTCCAGCCAGCCGGGGGTTTTCAGTTTGGGGGCCAACAAGGCTCAGCACAGCAGAACCCGTCCTTCCCAGCCGCTGGCAGTCTAGAGTTTCAGGGTGGGAATTTTTCGTTGGGCAGCGGGGGTGGTGGCGGTGACAAGTCGAACCGAAGGGTGATCAAGGTCAAAAGGACAACAAAGAAGAGATAAGGGTGAGCCCTCTGTTGGAATCTGCATTCAGTGGTGTCATTTGGGATTGGATTGCACCGCTTGGTAGCAACCTTGCCTCGGTTTATAATCAAGGGAATGAAGTTAACTACGATGAGGTTTTATGGCCATACAGATTTCCCTGCAGCAGGACGATAACACCACATATATCTCATGGCTGGCTTGTAAACCCATCCTCAAGGTCAGTGGAGTCTGCCTCACTCGATTCATTTCCTCATCTGAGCTGGCCTGCATGTTGTGTGTAATATGCTTGTGCTCTTGGGGTGTAAAATAGAACAAACAAAGATGTGTCTCCAGGTGTAATTTTTGTTTTCTTGCCCCCAAATGCCGTCTTGATTTCTTTTCTCTGTGGTCTGCCTCCGGTATATTTGTCTCGGAGTGTAATGCACTGTTTTATTTTTGTTCTTGGTTTATTACATTCAACAACAAGGTCAGAACTGTAGCGTAGAATCCCTATCCAAACTAATCATGCGTACGCATTGATTGTTTACGTGTCTTCCGTGAGCTGTTGCGTGCTCACGCCACGCTGTGTTGTCCTCGCAGCAGAATATTTTCGTTCCCGTGTGCTTGACCGGTTCTTCCCGAAAGCTACCGCTCGGCACCTATGTTTAATCCGTAATCGGACGGGTACCTGATTTGGAATTTTTTGTCTCGTACAGCTGAAACTGGGATGTTACTGTCCACCTGCCGCGGCTGGTAGTCTGGGAGAGCCGGAGATCCGGACGCCCATTGGCCCCCGGACCCGGTGGGACGGCGACGCGCTTTGGACTTTGCACAGCGGAGCGGCGCGACCCGGTCGGTCGGCCACCCACGCGCAACGCGCTCTCGCTGGTGCTCGTTTCATTTCAACCCCGCTTTCCCTCCGCGATCATGGAAGTGGAAGAACCGGGGCAACAGGACAGAAACAATGACACGGGCGTCGTGCCTCCTCGCCGTTCCCCACTTCGCGCCCTCTTCCTCCTAGCTCCTGCTCCTTCCTCGCCGTGCCATGTCAAACTCATCAACAGCTAGACACGAGTAGCCACCCAATCATTGCCCCCCTCGGTCCCAAACTCCCAACTGCGCGTATCCACGGCAGCCCAGTATACCGCCACAGGTCGGGCCCCCGCCTCCTGCTGGATCTCTTTTTTGTTCGCTTCTTGGTCCATTCATACTTCCCCTCACGCGGCACGTAACGAGGGATCACGCGTTTCCACCCACAGCTCCTGCCCTTTTGTTGCCCCCCCGCTTCCCCTATTCATGCTCTCATCACTTCTACTTCTTCGAGCTACCTGCCTATCATGGTCAAGCGCCACGTTCGTTTGACTTATAAGCCGTATTTATTTTTTTCTCACAATAAATCAGCCAATAGTATTTCAGCCATGCCTTATCAGCCAAACGAACAGGACAATGGTCGAGCTGCTGTCCCTCTGATTGTAATCCTCGTTCCTGTATAGAGGTGGCTCTCCGAGTCTCGAACCCCTATCTTTGTTTTAGCAATTTGGCCCTATTCGTTTAGATTTGTTTGATTTATAAGTCATACTTTTTCAATCAACAAATAGTGTTTTTCTTTTCCACCAAATCAGTCAACCGTACTTTTAGCCATGGCTTATAAAAAAAAAAGCCCAAACGATCGGGGCGTTGGTTTCTAGCATCTGTGAGTGCTCGCCTTTGACTTCTTCCTCCACCTCACCTGCCGGCGACGAGGTCCAAAAGCTTGGTTATTGTTGATGCGCAGGCGTAGCTGCTGTCCCAAGGCGTCTGATTTCTGCATTGCGAGCTCCGGGATACCTTGTCTGGCGTTGACTTCGACACGCACTCGAGGCGATCGGCGCATTTCTTTCCATCTTTGATCTTGGCTTTCCATAGTTTTCCGCGCTAGGTATTCGATCTCCTGCCCGGAAGAGGTCCGTTCCCGGATGCTGGAAGAGACATACACCCATACATCCGCGACGTGATCTGAGCCGGCGCAGAGCTCGAGGAGTTGAGAGCTGTGTTTCTTGGATCCGAGCGGGGGTCAGCTTGGGCGCCCGCCCCGATAAAGATTCCGGCGACTCGTGTTCTCCCCGCCCGCCGCGATGGGGAACACGTGCGTCGGCCCCAGCATCACCAAGAACGGCTTCTTCCAGTCCGTCTCCACGGTGCTGTGGAAGACGCCGCAGGACGGCGACGCGCTGCCCGCCGCCGCCAATGGCCCCGGCGGCGCCAGCCCTGGCCGGTCGCAGTCGACGCCGCTTCCGGCGCTGCCGAAGCCAGCGTCCGACGTGCACGTCGCCGTGCAGAGCAAGGCCCCTGAGCCCGTCAAGATCGCCGCCTCCCACTCGGAGCCGGCGTCCAAGGCTGCCGCCGCCGCCACGCAGGACGCCAAGCCTGCCAACGCCAGCCCCAGCCCCAACTCGTCAGCCGAGGCGCCGCCCAGGCCGCGTCCCAAGGTGCCGCAGGTGAAGCGCGTGTCCAGCGCCGGGCTGCTCGTCGGCTCGGTGCTCAAGCGCAAGACGGAGAACCTCAAGGACAAGTACAGCCTGGGGCGGCGGCTCGGGCAGGGCCAGTTCGGCACCACGTACCTGTGCGTGGAGCGGGCCACCGGCAAGGAGTTCGCGTGCAAGTCCATCATCAAGCGCAAGCTCGTCACCGACGACGACGTCGAGGACGTCCGCCGGGAGATCCAGATAATGTACCACCTGGCGGGCCACCCCAACGTCATCTCCATCCGCGGCGCCTACGAGGACGCCGTCGCCGTGCACCTCGTCATGGAGCTCTGCGCCGGCGGCGAGCTCTTCGACAGGATCGTGCAGAAGGGCCACTACACCGAGAGGAAGGCCGCCGAGCTCGCCAGGGTCATCGTCGGCGTCGTCGAGGTGTGCCACTCCATGGGCGTCATGCATCGGGATCTCAAGCCGGAGAACTTCCTCTTCGCTGACCAGAAGGAGGAGGCCGCTCTCAAGACCATTGACTTTGGTCTCTCCATTTTCTTTCGCCCTGGTGAGTTTCTGCGATCACGTTTCATTCAAAAAACATGTCGACGCGAATGGTATTGTACCATGCTTTTCCCCCCCTTTGACATGATCCCATCAACATTTGATCAACATTATCAACAGTATGTGATGCAATGCAATGATTCTCAGTTTCTCATCAAACCAATTATGATGCGGTTTTGATGATCCTATTTCTATCAGTTACAGAGACAATGGCATCTGTTATTCAATTTACCAATTCGATGTTCACCAGAATTAGAATTCAGAATATTGTCATTCATTAGCTGTGATATGTGGTTAGTGATACTACATTATGTTTTTATTGCTGATGTTCTGGTGAAAATCTGATTCTTGTCACTTAATTTATTTGGAAGGATTTTATTTGTGCCACCAACAGTTGAGACATATACAGCTGCATATCTTCACTTGTCTGCAACTCTGCATTCCATCCTTGTGATGATATCAATCATTCTCCATTCCCCTCAACATTTATATTCCATCTTACTGCAGGTCAAATATTCACCGACGTCGTTGGTAGCCCTTACTACGTCGCACCAGAGGTCCTAAAGAAGAAATATGGTTCAGAGGCAGACGTTTGGAGTGCTGGCGTAATCATTTACATCTTGCTGTGTGGAGTGCCACCATTTTGGGCAGGTGCAATACTATGCTCTTTTCAGTAGTCCAATGATACTGATACAGCAGTACAGCTTCATGCAAATTTTCTGGCCAATCTCTTGTACTGATCACTCACTTCACTTGTTTGTCAACCAGAGAACGAGCAGGGCATATTTGAGGAGGTTTTGCACGGGAGGCTTGACTTTGAGTCGGAGCCGTGGCCCAGCATCTCCGAAGGCGCCAAAGATCTTGTGAGGAGAATGCTTATTAGGGACCCAAAGAAGAGATTAACCGCTCATGAAGTTCTACGTGAGTTCCTGACTTACCATCAATCACATTGCTTCCCTGTTCATGGCTGCCTGCATTCCCATTTTTGAACAAGTGCATCCCTTCCACTGGCTGATGTATTTCTGAAGCATGTTGTCTGTTATCATGTTGCAGGGCATCCGTGGGTTCAGGTTGGTGGTTTGGCTCCTGATAAGCCGCTGGATTCCGCTGTTCTTTCTCGTATGAAGCAGTTCTCGGCAATGAATAAGCTGAAAAAGATGGCTCTTAGGGTAAGTCGTTTGGTCTTGAAAGAGTTGTTTCACACGCCTCTATTTTGTGCATTGGTGTTGGACCTTAGCTACCATCGTCTTGCGCTTGTACTCATGCGCCCAGTCAATACCTGCTGTATGGCCATTTGGCTGATGCAAGACGCATAACTGATTCTGTGATTCATGCAAAAAACAAAAGGAAATATTTACTGGCATCCATCCATCCATCCAAATGGTTGAACTGAATGCTGTTCCTTCCGAAGAATGGCTTTGTCCTGATATATGTATGTTTGTTTGTTTGCAGGTGATCGCCGAGAACCTATCCGAGGACGAGATCGCCGGGCTGAAAGAGATGTTCAAGATGATCGACGCGGACAACAGTGGGCAGATCACGTTCGAGGAGCTGAAGGTGGGCCTGAAGAAGGTTGGCGCCAACATCCAGGAATCGGAGATCTACGCGCTGATGCTAGCCGTAAGTGATCCAGTTTTCATCTTTGGATTCTCCAAGTCACGGCGGATAGACAGAGATCCCTCCCTGCTGAAAAAAGGAAAATTAACTCTTTGTTGTGGTTGGGCAACACGCAGGCGGACGTGGACAACAACGGCACGATCGACTACGGCGAGTTCATCGCGGCGACGCTGCACCTGAACAAGGTGGAGCGGGAGGACCACCTGTTCGCGGCGTTCCAGTACTTCGACAAGGACGGCAGCGGGTACATCACCGCCGACGAGCTGCAGGTGGCGTGCGAGGAGTTCGGCCTGGGCGACGTCAAGCTGGAGGACATGATCGGAGAAGTCGACCAGGACAACGTCAGTATATATTTATGTCCCCACGTTCCGTCTCTGTCTGACAGAGCTCTGAATCTGAATTGTTCTG